TATTTCATTGGACTGCCTTTAGCTTTGATTATGGCATTCACAGTGGCATTGTTTCCATAAGCTTTTGCAATGTGACAACACTTATTTCTGTCCAGAGTTGCATTCATTTTTCACCAATATGTTGTAGTCATGAGTGTAAAGTCTTCTCCTACACATCCCAAAGATTCTCGATGAGGTTAAGGTCTGGATTCTTTGGTGGCCAATCCATATGTGAAAACGATGTCTCATGCTCCCTGAATCACTCTTTCATAATTTGAGCCCCAATGAATCCTGGCATTGTCATCTTGGAATATGCCCGTGTCATCAGAGAAGAAAAAAAACCATTGATGAATATACTGAATGACCAGGTTTTTCAAGGTAGGCAGCTGACCTCATTTTTGGGGGACATAGGGTTGCTGAACCAAGACCTGACCAACTGAAGCAACGCCAGATCATAACACTGCCCCCACGGGCTTGTCTGGTAGGCAGTAGCCATCATTTCATCCGCCTCTCCCTGCTGCGCCCATCACTCTGGAAGAAGGTAAATCTGGACTCAGACCACATGACCTTTTTTCATTGCTCCGGAGTCAAATCATTATGCTCCCTAACAAATTAAAGGAGAACTATGAGGTGAGTGCTTTTCACTCGCCTCATAGTTCTCGCCGACCTGTAACAATGAGACTGTCACAGGTCGGCTTAGTAGATCGGGAGGTGAGCGAACACATACCGGCATTCGCTCACCTCTCAATCCTGTCACGGCTCTCTGCCGTGACAGGGGAGGGGCAGGATTCCCCCCTCCGATCCGCCAGCGCTGACTGGCATAACGGACGGGGGAGGGGGCGGGTACAGCTGGCTCTGCCTCTAGATAGGCAGAGCCAGCTGTCAGTCACGCAGCTGGGTGGATCCCGGCACAATTGTCGGGATCCGCTGCGGCGTCTCAGTATACCTCGAGCTACAGCCTAGGGTGACGAGAGGACGCTAGTTTGTGTCCTCCCGTTACCCTAAGGAGAACTATGGGGAAAAGCCTTAACCATAGTTCTCCTTTAAAGGATTTTTTTCCCGATTAGCCTCACTGATGAGTGGTTTCCTTCAATTCTCTTTGCATTGTGTGTGTGGAAATGCTTTTACTTGCACTATTAAACCTAGCCTTGAGAGTTCTACTGTTCATTTTCTACAAATTGATTTCACTAACATTTAAGTGATCTCCAATCATGATCATTCAAGATTTTTTCCTATTTCTTTCTCATAGGTGGTGGTTCACCACTAACCTGAATAATTCATTGGACAGTCCCTAACACAATTTTACTAGTTTCAGCAATCTCCTTAGTTATTTTCTCTGTTCTAATGCAGGTCAATAATTTGACCCTTGTGAAACAGAGTTACATCTTTTCCATGACCACAGGATATGTCTTCTGGCATGGTTGTTTAAGAAATGAAAAGCTATTCACTGCATCAGTTGGAGTTAAATAACTTGTTGCCGGATTAAACATATTATTAATCACTGCAGTAATTATCCAATGGAAGGCTCTTAGCTATTTGTTTAGCTACATCCAGGTGGTGACTTTTTTTTTTTTGGCTAGACAGTGTATTACCAGCCAAGCCCAGTTTCCATGAATATACTGATTGGGTTCTTTTACAAATAAATTAGCAAAAATCACTGCACCCTATATACATTCTGCACCCCCCTCCCCAATATTGTGTGCTAATTATCTTAATTTACAAATACATCCTACACTGAAATTCTGCTCTCTGTGATAGTGTTTAGCTATTAATTTTATTTTTTTAAAGCAAACTTAAACTGAACAAACATCATGTAAATAAAAAGCACTCTTAAACATTAGGTACCATAAGATGAGAGAGCATACCAACATTACTGAAGAGGATACCAATATCACTGAAATGCCTTTAAAGCAGTGCCACCGCATTTCCTCCTAGAAATACCCATGCTACTTATTTATGGAGAGACAAAGCTGGCACCAGGCCCAAGCACTATCACAAGGGGGAAGGGCCTAAACTTTCCAGAAAGTAAATAGGTCTAAAAGCCTTGAAGGAAAAAAAGGGCTACCCTGTTTGGAAAGCCAGTATTTGCATAGGAATATTCAGGGCCAAGAATGTCACAGTGCTGCATTGGAGTTCAGGTACACTTATTCTTCAGTAGTTCTATTAGTTTATATTTTGTTTGTCCAGAACAACATAGGTATAAATTACTTTCAGATAAATGTTAATAATAGCACAAAATCTGCCCTCATTCATACACAATTTCTTTTTCTAGCGAAAGTGTTTGTGCATATGCACCTTATACAGAAAACATTAAAAAGTTTTGCTGGGCCCGCTCACTTAGCAATGGCAGCAGTGGCAGGTAGAGCAGCCATACAACGAGAATTCTTCCCATTTGGTGGCAACTGTAGTTGTTGTTTTTCAGTCCTTTGGTTTTCTGCCATTAAAAGTACTATAGGACATACAATACAATTCTCAAAGTTTGTGAGGTATTGGTGGGATCCTAAAAGCACCTAGCACATTACCTTTTCAAATAAACAGCCAAATTGTTCCCAAGGGGATCTGTTTAACAACAGTAAAATAATAAATTCTAATGAGCATAAAAAATTAAAACATAAGCTCTGTTCCTATATTAACTTCGAAGGTTCTGAGAAATAATTGTTAGTATTTCAGAGTATTTATTTTTTATTTGTGATGTTGTATCAAAACACATTCTTGCATGTCTGCATTAGCAGTGTGGTACCTCTAAATCATGATAGCTTGGCACTGGTAGACTTCATCATGGAGAATCCCAAACTATTCCCTACAAATAAAGCGTCCCATAACATTTTAAGGAATTAGTAGCTGTGAGCATAGCCACAACAATGAAGATCACAGGGCAATGGTGTTATATGCAAGTATAACATAATATTGAAAGTGAGGGGAGGGGAGGTAGGAAAGGATAAGTCCATTGATCCTGCCCCTGGAGCCACAGTACTAAATTCTCACAGTTCTCAGCTGACACCGGTGCTAAACTGCCCGCTACAAAATCTTCTGATTCAAGTCATGTGATGATTTTACAGTTAATTGTTAGTTAGCATGCTGACTGAGCTCTTAATTTAAATGCTGACCTATATTTTTCCATATAAGCGTTCCTTGCATCTTTTAAAAAATGCATACAGAATATTATTGTCAAACTGCTATGAGTATGTAAAAGATATTCTTGTACTTGAGATGGGCGGCCTATGCGGAGGATCGGAACACTCGTTCAGGGAGAGCCTTTTTCTCCCTGAACCCTCTCTATCCCATCACTGATCCGACCACTCGGCATCTGTCAGCTGCCCCCGCACACAGACTCTCGTACACTGTCCCAAGCAGACCTGACAGGGACCTAGTGCTGACACCCACAGCCGCAACAGCCCTGTCTATTGCTGACACCGCTGGGTTCTCCTCTACACCGCCCATAGCCTGCATTTCGCTAGCGGCACTACGGACGAAGTCCCCTCTTCTCACTCACACCCTTCTGTGGATGTACTCCTCTAAGCAGCACACCAGCTAAAGTCGTACACACATCACGAGTGTTCCGATCCTCCGCATAGGCCACCCTTCTCCTGATCCCAGGATTCACATGTAAGTGCCAGCACTTTGATTCTCCGCTATATCTTGTTCAGCCAGCCAGTGTTTTTTTGCGCCCTTTGTGTTCTTTTGATTATCTGTATTTACAGGTTCTCCTCCTGTTTCCCAGGGCTGCATACATGTCTGCTAGTTAGCTCTACCAGTCCGAGAGCGCTGTTTATGTTTTTTCATATTCTTGTACTTGCATGCTAGAGGCCATATGGAAAAAATACATATTAGTAGCATAGCATTATTCCTTGAGTCTCATGGCTCAGCTTCATGTGCTTCATGTGCAGTAGCTGTCATTAAAAGTAAAAGACAATTTCAAGTGTGAAATGCTGTAAGGTTTATTCACACTTAAAAGATTGGTGTAACCTCATGAGTAGTGTATCGAAGACTACCATGACCTATACCTTATGCTTTTATAAGGTCATGTATCTTCCTTATATTTCTTAAGGGCAAGAAAATCTTCCTTTCTTTTTTTTACCACTTAGGCATATGTTCCGTGGGGTATGCACACAATTGTGCAGGCTGCTAGCATTATTGCTCTAAAGATATATACCAGTATTGGTCCAGATAAGTTCATGGTATGCTCAGAGTTTACTACAGCAAGAATGTGCATAGCATACATGCATTCACAAAAAAAGGTTGTAGTATAGTTGGTGTCACAGTAGTTTGATGCACAATACAGATCCCCCATGATGACTGTAGGAGTTCTTTGCTTGGCCTCTTGTTTTTGTGTGGCTCTTAAGATATTATGTTTCAAGTATATGCAAAGCCGAAACTTTTACTTTTTGATAGAGTAGAGATTGGGTTCAACTCCTTTTGTGGTTTGTGTGAAATTTCCCTTCACTTCCTCTCGTAGAGACACAGCAGGAAGAGGCAAAGCAAGGGGATATCTCCACAAACAGTTTTCAGCAGAACAGGTTTATCCATTGGAAGACTTTTTATCTCATCTTGCTCCTGTGACAACTCAAAAACTTTGAATTTTTCATCACTTTCCGTCATCAGGAGCAATAATTAGGATGAATCTTTCCAGAATGGACACAGCAATAAAGACCTGACAAAAAAGTTTTGCCTTTGCATACATTTTGAATTGGTTTTCACTATATGAACCAAGAGCATTTAAAATTTGATTACAGAAAGAATATATTCACCAAAATGTTAATTAGATAATCTTCACAAATGTATTTAAATGCTATGAGGACAGTTTACCATCCAGCACAAAATAGGCTATTGTTTAGTTTTCATGTGACATAAGATATCCTAACCCTCAAAAAGTCAAATGACATAAGCCATGGCACAAATTTTCTGAACTGTAAGGGTAAATGAATATGGAAAATTTCTAAAATTGTCCAAAGTCAGCTCTCCTATGATTTACTGAGATGTATGTGTATATGGAGCAGTTCTAAGAAAGTCTACATAAAAGACACAAAGAACAATCTGCAATTACTTTTCTGACAAATCCAGGAATTGACTGTGTTGGGTCTATATTGGATGAAAAGTGCACACAGGTGAGGCAATTCTAAAAGCAGGAATTTTAGAAGTTTGTAAATACTGTACATAGTTTAAATGCAAAATTGGCACCACAGGGATAAACGAGCCATCACATGTCATAAGGTGTACCTGGACATCATCATGACATAGTACAGTAAAATGTTTGCTGTAAAAACGTTGATCAGACTGTGTTGTAGGCTTCCTGCAAAATACAAATACTGGCAAAAACTCAAGTAAATAAGCCATAAGCCTTTTTCCTCGTCCATCAATCCCATTGAACATAAAAAAATAAAAGTAAACATAACCCGCAGAATCGGGTACAAGTATTTCCCTAATACCCAACATGTGGGAAAGTGTTAATGCAGTTCAGCATTAACTATGTTCCTTAAGGATTTTTTAACAATAAAAAAGCTTAAGAAATGCATCTGGATTCATAGTTGTGACTCGTGATGCACTCGCATCACCTCTTATAAATGTCCTCCAACCACTTCTCATCATCTTGATCATCCTCCTCTTCTATTATGGGATCCACTGTTTCCATAGGGAGTGGAAATTGGACCAACATTTCTGGACTAGATGGTGTCTTCACTTGAGATTTAAGTCCAAACTTGCGTTTGAGCAAATGGAATTGTTCTTTGACATAGTAATAAAATTCATATTCATATTTCATTCGCTGGTAGAGAACTTGTAGGGCATTGGGAGAAGGGAATGCTTTTTTCACTGTGACTGTCAGATTTCCAAGTTTTCTGTGTTCTGCAGCATAAGTGAGAAAATACAGGCATTAACCATATTATAAAACAATACAAATATACCTATGCATAACACATCGGTGTAATTAGATAGAAGCTATAGTCCACCAAGTTAAACAATGGCATAGAATTCATTTAAATTCATTATCATCTTAAATGAATCTTGCTCCAATGTATGGACCACACTGTGGGGATACTAATGGAATATGTGCAGTACACAGGCTGGTAAACTCTGTTGTACCTGGTCTGTATTTGAGCCTGACTCCACATTTCCCTATGTGCAATTCTCCTAGGTATACGTGCATACAGTTTTTTTTAAGGAACTCTGCAAATAGGTTCTTTCAAACACCCAGGGGAACTAACGATAATTACTTTTTGTTTCTTCATGTAATGCCAGACAGACTAATGATGCTGTTAATCAGGGTTAATATTGCATCCATTGACATTAGTGCTGTGGGTTATTTCTGTATCCACTGACACCAATAAACGGGCTTATTTTACACCCACTTTCTAAAATGCAGCAGGACTGAACTTGTTGGATGTCAAGATTCGTGACCGCCCATTCAATTTAAAAGGGCTACCTAACTTGGTGCAATGCACCTCAACACACAGAATTCTGCTGCTAATGTGCAACCTTCTCTAAAGGACCTCTCTAATTTTCAAGTTGACCATCATTGTATGTATACATGATTTTAACCCTGCAGTGCTGTGGAAAGTACCCTGGAGTCACTGGAGAGAACATTTCTACACCCACTTTATTAGAGCTAAGTTTTGTCACTGGTGCTGCATGCCAAAAAGAAAAAAGAAACCTCAACTTCAAATTAATACAGAATTCACTCACAGCTGCCCCTCTAGTTCCCCTCTCATCCCAGCCGTGAGTGAATTATGTCTACGGTAGATTTAAAGCTGAGGTTTCAGGTTTTTTTTTTAGATTAAGCAGCAGGGACATGACTTACCTCTAATAAAGTGGGTCTCATGTCCTGCTGGCTGCTGCTTAGTGTACAAATTTTCCCTCCAGTGACTCCAGGTTATTCTCCACAGCACTGATCTTCCAGCACTGCAGGGTTATGATCAACGGCTGTTTCTGTGAACCATCGGCACTGCTCACCCTCCTGTGTCTCCCCTCTTGCCCATTCACACAACTCGTAGTATTATTTCCCAGAATACAATAAATTCTGTGAATGAAAGGAGGCAGATTGTCATTCATCCACCTGTACCCCATTGCATTTTGGAAAAAATACTATGAGGGGAATTTATTAAAACTGGAGCTGACAAAATGTGGAGCAGCTGTGCACAGTAACCAGTAATCAGCTTCTATGTTTCATTTTTAAAGCTTAACTGAACAAACTGAAGAAAGAAGCTGATTGGTTACTATATGCAACTACTCCAGATTCTGTTTGCTCCAATTTTGATATATTCCCCTATGAGTTCTTTTAATAGGCAAGAGAGAGGGGAGGGTAAATTGTGCTGACAGTTTACAGGCAAGTCAAAGCTGCCGATCTTAACTCATGCAGAGCCAGAAGATAAGCATTGTGGGAAGTAACCCGCAACACTGAAGTGTGCATTTCTACAATATGCAGCAGCCAGCAGAACATGGCACACAATTCATTAAAGGTAAGTTATACCCTGGTTCTGCATGCCTCAAATAAAAATGTAATTACATTTCAGCTTTAATTAAACCTATTTTATTTTAAAATATTTGTTAAAATATGATAAGGAGGGGCACAATTTCACATCTCCACCCTGAGCACTGGATGACCTTGTCTCAATACTGTAGCCTACTCTACAGTACATGCTGCACTGTACTTTCACTACTCCAAACCACCCTACTCTATATTGTGCAATGTACATTTATCTACTTTACACACATAATGTATGCTGTATTCTCTACTTCCCACCTCCCCACTCTGTATGCTGTGCATTAAATAATAAATATATATAAGGTAAGGCAGGGCTAAAAATGTCAAGTCCTGAGCTACTAGCCAGGCCTTAAGAGTTATTAGCCACCAGTTGCCCCACCTAACCCTTACCCTGACCCGGCCTTAACTCTGCCCCTAAACACACCCTCTTAAATAATCTTATGATAATTCTTATCTTATGATAGTTGCCGCTTGTAAAGGGCAGATTAGGGATTCCTGCTGCAGGAAAACGCAAGTTCCTGACACAGGAATCTCTAAATCACACCTGAAATATACTGTAGGTGTGAAAGGGGATTAATATACACATACACAAAAGGTGCCCATACACCTGCCGATTATCGTACTATAATCGCGGGTGATCCTGCGATCGTACGATAATCGGCAAGTGTATGGGCAGCGTGCGACCGCTTCTACTGTAAGGTCGTACGACTTTCGTCTTCCAAGCACGCTGGAAAACCTGATGAAAATCGTATGATTTTTGGCAGGTTGGTGGTGTGGCCGGAAGACTAATGCCACACGGGCTGGTGTGCGCAAGCGCACACTGCCCGCAAGCGCACACTGCCCGCTCAGCACTGAAATCATCGGAAGTAAGATCTGCCTGTCTATAATGGGCAGATCGTACGAGATTTTAATGACCTTACAACCATAGCATAACAAAAGTCGTGCGATGGTTGTAAGGTATATGGGCAGCTTAACCTCTTGTACGAAATAAAATGAAAATTTTGAGCCCTGAGGTAAGGTATCCGAGTAACTGATGCATTCAGTTGTTTCAACATTCATGGCAAGTGTACACGTAAAAGAGAAACCTTAGCCAAGAGAGGAATACCCAGATGAAATGTGTGTGCACACACAGTGTGGCAAATAATTATTTGATCCCCTGCAGATTTTGTAAGTTTGCCCACTTACAATGAAATGAAAGGTCTATAATAGGTATAGGTGTTATCATAGGTGTATTTTAAATGATAGACAGAATATCAACCAAAAATCCAGAAAAAAACACATCATACAAATGTTATAAAGTGAGTTGCAGTGCAGTGAGTAAAATAAGTATTTGATCGCCAAGCAAAACATGACTAAGTACTTGGTGGAGAAACCCTTGATGGCAAGCACAGAGGTAAAGATGTTTCTTGTAGTTGGTTACCAGGTTTGTACACATCCCAGGAGGGATTTTGGTCCACTCTTCTTTACAGATCTTCTCTAAATCCTTAAGGTTTCTTGGCTGTCGCTTGGCAATTAAAAGTGTCAGCTCCTCCATAAATGTTCTATATGATTAAGGTTTGGAGACTGGATAGGCCACTGCATGACCATAATGTGCTGCTTCTTCAGCCACTGCTTTGTTGCCTTGGTGGTATGTTTTGGGTCATTGTCATGCTGAAAGACCCATCCACGACCCATCTTCAGTGTTCTGGCTGTGGAGTGAAGGAGGTTCTCATCCAAGATTTTACAATACATGGCCTTTGGCCCCTCAATGCTACAAAGTCGGCCTGTACCTTTAGCAGAGAAACAGCCCCAAAGCATAATGTTTCCACCTCCATGCTTGACTGTATGGATGGTGTTCTTAGGGTCATAGTGAGCATTTTTCTTCCTCCAAACACGGCGATGTTCAGTTAATGCCAAAGAGCTCAATTCTGGTCTCATCTGACCGTAGCACTTTCTCCCAATCCTTCTCTGAATCATTTAGGTGTTCATTGGCAGACTTCAGATGGGCCTGTACCTTCTTGAGGAGGGGGACCTTGCAGGCTGTGGTCCCAAGTGCCTTGAGATCATTCACAAGCTCCTCCCATGTAGTTCTGGGCTGATCCCTCACTTTTCTCATGATCATCCTTACCCCGTGAGGCGAAATCTTGCATGGAGCTCCAGACTCTTTTGAATGATGGTTATTTTGTATTCCTTCCATTTGCGAATAATCGTTCCAACAGTTGTTTCCTTCTCACCAAGCTTCTTGCTGATAGTCTTGTAGCCCATTCCAGCCTTGTGGAGGTCTACAATCTTGTCCCTAACGTCCTTTGACAGCTCTTTGGTCTTGCCCATGGTGGTGAGGTTTGAACGGAAGAAAGAGATTCTGTGTACAGGTGTCATATATATATATATATACACAGGGCTCAAAATTTCAAGCCCTGAGCTACTAGCCAGGCCTTAAGAGTTACTCGCCACCAGTTGCCCCACCTAACCCCTTATATATAAATTTGAAATAATTATATTCATGATATTCTGGATATTTTAGTGCTATCTCTTGGAAGAAATGGGGAAAGAGGAAGTAAAAAACATTTGCATACAATTTTCACAATGTAATATAGCTTTTAACCATGTACCTGGATTTTTATAAATACTCATGACGTCCTTAAAGTAATGTGGTAAAAATCTTTCCAACAAAAGCAGAACATCATCCAGCTCTTCTAGAATTCCAACAAGTAAAAAGTTCTCATTTACGTTTTGTTTTGCACGTTCCAAGGCCCACTCACCAGGATCCCTAGAGGAAATGGAAGTTCATGGGTTTAATAAACTACAAGGCTTTCAGTTTTCTTACATGAAAAAAGTGACTTTCTGGACCTCCGCTCAAACTCTGAAATCAAGTGTTAATAAAAATGCTGATGGAAAAGTGAAAATAGAAAGAGAATATGATCAAGGAAGTTAGAATGCCATTTTCCAATTTGTAGAGCCTCCAATCATATCGATTTCAGCTTGTGAGTTTCAGTAATGGTTTTTAAGAAATAAAAGCAGGTGATTGATACAACCATCATGTATCCACCTAAAACTGAAATATCACTTTTAGATAGACTATGAGTATCTAAAATATTTCAAATATTGAGTTTGCCTAGCCTGATCCACACCCACAGTGTGGATGAAGAAAGTTCCTCTATGAGATTTAGTGGTTTGCTCAAAGTGGGAGGCGCATAGTGAAAATGCAGTCTATAAAACCCAATATCTTTATACTCAATATGTATTTTGCTATAACTATAAAGTCAGCACATTATTATGTACCTGCATTTTGGATGCTGTCCACAAAAATATGGAATAATGTAAAATAGTCTGGGATTGGAACACTCTGCATAATTTCCTAGAATACACTCATTAATGTCCTGCAAAAAACAAAACAAAAACAAAACAAAAAAAACAGAATAAGATATTGTACAGTACTGAGAAATAAATCAAAGGTGATAAGTATTGATAATGCACTCATAATCATATAAATTGAACATCTACCTCACAAATCAAACCCGAGTGATGCGATTTTAGGCGGGACATAAGTAAAAAATGCTAACAGCTATGCCAGGCTTTTTATGGACTGTATGTCTCTTCTGCCATAAATGCTTCTCTCCTGCTGCTAGCATTTTCTTTTTAACTGCCATACCAATCAATACATGCACAGCTCAATGTACAATCTCAGCATGCCGTGGGTGCCAGGATGAAGTAACTACCATGTTCATGTGTTCATCATTTCGGCTTGCCAATCAATGCAGCCAATGACTCTAGACCCTGTAAAAGAGGGAAGCTCTTGCATTGCAGCAACGAGGGGGAGCATGGACATTGCATTGCTGAAGAGGGGCGTTTTGCAAGGAAGTGTTCCATAATGTGCAAATAAGTTGTGTATGCCTGCAAATGCTGAGGGCTTCTGGGGGTACCCAACAGTTGCGTGTGGTATATTTCCCCTTTTACATGTTAGTTTCCAAACTGGGAACATTGTGATTAAACAGATTGACATGCTTTAGATAGATAGATAGATAGATGGACTGGGTGTGGCCAGGTGCTGATTGACAAGCTTATGAATAAGCAGAGACAATGCTGATAGCCACACCCCCACAACATCTTCTCATCCCATTGTAGTGGAAGCAGACACAGCCTACATGAGAGGGACAACTCTGCTCTGAATTCAGAATCAGTGCAGCATCACTGGAAGCTGCATTAGGTGGGCTCTAGCAGGTGTGAGATATAGTGATAGATAGATAGATAGATATATAGATAGATAGATAGATAGATAGATAGATAGATAGATAGATAGATAGATAGATAGGACATAAAAAAGTAAATCTTTTAGATGATTTTTGTTTTCTTCATATGTCATTTTCCATAGGCATGGTCAGTATGATTTTGTAATTCAAATAACAGATAATGGTTTCACAAAATGTGCCCATACACCTGCCGATTATCGTATGATAAGCGCAGGTGATCCCACATCTACTGTACGGTCGCACGACTTTCGTCTCCTTAGAAAACACTGGAAATGGTACGATTTTCGGCGGGTTGGTAGCGTGCTCGGAAGACCAAAGCCGCACGGGCCGGTGTGCGCTAGCACACACTGCCCACTCAGCATTGCAATCATCGGCAAACCCTCCCATCAGCAGCGATGTACGACCTGCCTGTCCAAGATGAGCAGGTCATATTAAATTTTAATGACCTTACAAACATCGCACAACAAAAGTCGTACGATGGTTGTGGGGCGTATGGGCAGCTTAAGTGCCACAATATCCAAACAGGGCTGTGTTAGGCATGCAGGGTTAATATTAGTGCTGGCTGTGATGACCAGAAGCTCAGAAAAGGGCAATAAATATTGCCACTACTAAAACTGATAAACAAAGGTGTTGATTTACAAAAGGCAAACAGGATGTTCACTTTGCAAAGAAATTTGCACATTGCAGGAAAAGTTCCCCCTAGTTTAATAAATGTGGTGAAATTTCACTTTGTAAAGAATACCCAATCATGTTCATGGAAAATAAAAAAATTATGGCAGTCAGCAGAGCTTAACCTCATTAACTAAGCTAAAGGGAAACTCCCCCTGCAAAGTGCAAATTCCCTCACAAAGTGAACAACCTATTTGCCTTTAGTAAATCAACCCCAAAGTGCCAAGAGCAACTTCTCCAATCCTTAATGATGCAATATTGGGCTTGTGGTATCCTCACATTCACACAGATTTTCTATGCTTAATATGTCTTAAACAGCCTCCCTAATGGGGCCCCTCCCACCCTAAGTAATTGTGGTATTGTTTTGGGGTGGTTTTAAATGCCACTGACCACCATTATTTGGGGATTGTTTTGAGGGGGAGGGGGTTAAAGTGTTTGGGTTTATTCAGGACATCTAGCCACTACACAAATTGTAATTTCAGTGCAATGCATTTTCATCCTCCATGCTAAAGGCTAAGCACACCTTTATTTATTTTGTATCCGCATCAATTCCAGCATTTTTCTTTTCCAAAAATCGTGGCAAAAAGTACGTTCTTTTTGGGGTGTCTACTTTCCAAAAAGGGTCCTGTTGGAAGTGTCTGTATTGTTCTGGCATTTTTATTTGATATGTTTCAAAACAAAAAGTGACGGAAACATTTGGTCTTTTTTCTTTTATATATTAAAAAAATTCTATACCACCAAAAATAAATCTCTATCTCTCTCAAAATAAATAAAGAAATAAATACATAAATCCATTCATTTAGGTACTATTGCATGACCGAGTAATTGTCAAACACTAAAAACTGAAAAATGGCCCGGACAACAAGGGGGCCTGAACTAGTTTATATACCATTTGGTTTACATATTTTTTTATTTTCAGCGAAGGAAGGAAGATTAGTAGCTAAGTTTATAGCAAACCTTGAGGCAGAGAGTAGTTTACAGAACTCAGTAGAGCAGATTTGAAGATGTCTGAGCTATTACAACTAGGAGACACATCCTCCTCACACAATACAAACAAGTGTAAGCTAAGCAGACAAGAGGCAATACTGAATCTCTTGAAAATGCCACAGGGAGAGATACAGACCATGGTCATAAAATATATTATATGTATCTGATGAAAACTAGAGTAAAAGAAACTTTACATGGAGAAGAGATAAGCTACACTCACACTTTGCATTTTGGGATTCCTGCGACAAGAACCTACGGATTCCTGCGCTAGGAATCCCAAATGTCAAGTTTAGATGCGACTGCTGTCACCCATAGAAGTTAATGATCGGGTAACAGTGGCCTCATCTGCAGTCTGCATGCAATCATATGTGATATGGTTACATGCGGTTTTGGAATAGATCACTATCCCTGGATGCACGATAGATGCATCCAATGACAGATGTGGCAATTGTCATCCGGTCAATAACTTGAACGAGTGAATGAGTATCTAGGACAGATCAGCAGATTGAAGAAGCAGGTTGGGAAATTCTCAGGTGAATGGAGCTTGCAGCCATTCAGCTGTAAGCTCCATTCAGGTATTCTGGCCAGCAGCTGCTGCTAGAGTACAACAGAAACTGTGGGGGATTCCTTAATCAGCGCTCACAAGCGTTTATGGAGGAATCTGTTATATTTTCTTAATTCAGTCCGCAGGTTGAACAAAGAAAATATATGTCTATATACCTGTCTTAGGACTCAGCAAGGTCAGGAGAGTATTGGCCCAAAAGAGGGACCAAGTAATAAAGCAAAGGTGTGAAAATTAAACACATTTTGTCAATCTGTCGAAGAGCAGAACCTTACGCTATAGAAAAATTACAGCTCAGTCAAGGTCACAGTGGATTATGAAAGTCTTGTTTCTATTTATTCCATCAGAACCATAAATCTCAGGTTCTCAAAACTGTGGTCAGTTCTTCAAAAGTGCTCTGCTACCAAAAAGTTAATTATGTAATTCTTAATATTACATTAATGCAAGTTTGTACACTTATAAAATGTTTAGCCGGATTTACCCACATAAAGGCCACCTCCATTGGAAAGCCTACAGGAAAATGTAGCCCTGATAGCTGCATACCTGCTTGGAGTGTGGCTCAGACTCAGTGTTGTATATACACTGAGTGGCCAGTTTATTATGACCACCTGACGTTTGTAGGCAAATTAGCTATAATTTTGCGCTGAAGTTGCTAGAGGGCCAGACCATTATAAATAGGGAAGCAGGTTGTTTACCACAACAGTAGAAGTGATTTTTTCTGAAGATATGGGTAAACAACGCAATTTAACAGCCTTTGATCGTGGGATGATTGTTGGCGCGAGCCATGGAGCGAGTATCAGTAAAACAGCAGAATTCGTTAAAGGAGAACTATGGGGTCAGTGTTTTTTCCCATAGTTCTCCTTAGGGTAACGGGAGGACACAAACTAGCGTCCTCCCGTTACCCTAAGCTCAGTATACCGCGAGCTACAGCTCGCGGTATACCGACACGCCGGAGCGGATCCCGACTTAGATGACGGGATCCGCCCAGCTGCGTGAGTGACAGCTGGCTCTGCCTATCTAGAGGCAGAGCCAGCTGTACCCGCCCCCTCCCCCGTCCGTTCCGCCAGTCAGCGCTGGCAGATCGGAGCGGGGAGAGGGGAATCCAGCCCCTCCCCCTGTCACGGCAGAGAGCCGTGACAGGATCGAGAGGCGGGCGAACCCGGTATGTGTTGGCTCACCTCCCGATCTACTGAGCCGACCTGTGACAGTCTCATTGTCACAGGTCGGCTAGAACTATGAGGTGAGAACTATGAGGGCATTTAAAGGTTCTCCTTTAAATGTTCAAGAGGGGCTCATTGTTAAAGTGTTTAAAGACTGGACTGTCAGCCGAAAATCTGGGTCTGAGCGTGCAAATTGTGGCCGTCAGCGACTAGTCAATGTTAGGGCAGAACAGAGAGTGGCAAGACTGGTACAAGACAACAGAAGGGCAACAGTGCAGTGTTAGATTCCTCGCATCACCTTTCAACAGTCACGAGGTGGCCCAACGAAGTCATCTCGTGGCCCAACGAAGTACTGATGGGGTGGTCATAATAATCTGGCCACTCAGTGTATGTTTGCAGGTTGCTTAAAAGATAGGAGGGGACGGTCTGGGAATATATCTCATAGCGCATAGTATATCTGTCCGTTGTTGTTTTGAATAATCCAACTGCTGTAGGTAGAGGTCTTCCCCAAATGCAAAAAAGGTGCGCATTAGTATAAAATATATAAATTGTGTGACTGGTTCTGCAGGAAGGTTTTGTTTGCTCCAAGCACACGAAGCATCTTGCTATTTTTTCCTTGTGCAGACAGTTATCGCACAAGGGTTCCACATCCATATTAGCCCGGTATTGGCATCAGGTATTGGCCACATGGTGTTTAGCTTGTTAAGAAGATCTACTGTGTCCTGTAAGTAGCTGCTAGGGATTTCCAGATG